AGATATTATTGATTAATAAGGAAAACTTATCATCAAAATTAAAACTTAATTTTGATCAGCAGCTATTATTTGCGAGACTTAGATTTCAAGCCCGCTTCTCCCTCATTACTGGTGATGCTTTTACCTTCACCTGAAGAAACCGTTGCTGTCTTAGGATATTTTAGTGTAAGAGAGTTCAGCTCATCCATTGTGGTTATCTTGTACCTGGTCCCATCAGCAGCTTTAACCACTATTATGCCATCCTGAGTCCAGCATGCTCTCATACCAAAATGCAACCGAGCTTTGCCAAAAACAGTCTGTCGTGCCTTTGTCAGAAGCTCTTTCACTGAGACTGAAGATCCTTTAAGCCGGGATTTGGCCCTCCACACAGATAATCTGGATTCAACACTAGCAAACCTTACAAGGATTGGCCGATGATGGTCTTTATTGGCTACTCCAATCCTATGACAAACACGAATAGAAGATCCTGTTATGTCACTCAGTTTCATCTTGTGGATTGTGTTTAGTACAGTAGCCTCGCAGTCCTCCTTATCCATTTCGGCGATTCCCAAGAAAATGAGGGCCTTACGTCGTTGTCTCGTATCAATGACATCAACCATGCGGGAGCACTCATTAATTTGCTTGCGAAGCAGACCTAGCATGGAGAACATGAGTTCTCGGAAGGTCCGGAACTCCTCTGCCACCTTTGCAACAGGATCCTTTGCGTGTCCCCCAGATTGTAGCTGTGCTTTCAGTTCGGCCATTCTATTAGAGAAGCATTCCTCCAGGCTATTTTGTGCGGTTTTAATCTCCTCAATTTGAGACATTGTATAGTATCCAATTAAGTAACAATGGGTTAATAAAACTCAAATATGTAATATAAGTGTGCAGTGTTGCCATTTTAGCCACTTTGTGGCTAGATCTAGCGGATTTTCAAAGGTTTTAGCCAAAAAAAATCAATTTTAGCCACCAAAACGAATCTAGCTACTTCTAACTACTTCTGGTAATTTTTGTGAGCTACTAAGTTCTTTTAAAGAAACATGTGGTTACCGCCTTTTGCTGAGAAGGCAACACTACCGCGGTCCGCTCACTCTCCGCGCCGCAGTTGTAATCTATGATCGGGGTTTCCCCAACTCCACTCATATAGTACCGAAAGTCGAAACGATAGATCGCATTGTTCTTGTTTAGCCGTAGCCTCTCACGCGTGGATAGTTCTTACATTTTTCATTTTTGTTAAGTTTTAAAGGTGAATTGAGAGTCTTGAGTTCTTGGAAAGTTATTGGAAATATCATGGATGTTCCTCTCAAGAAAAAGAGCTACATTCAAAAATATAGGACTGAATGGGAGAATGACGAAGACTTTAAACAGTGGATAAAGCCAATAGCGGATAGTCCAACGAAAGCCTTTTGCACGTATTGTCATGTAGAAATTGCTGCCAAAATTTATGATTTACGTAAGCACAGAGAATCTAAAAAACACAAAGCAAAATGTGAATTAATCACAAAAAATAAACAGATCCACTTTACCTCTACATCTGATGATGGTTCAAAGAACAGCCAAAAAGCTGAAGGCCAGCTTGCCTTGTTCATTGCTGAACATACTTCCATATCCAACACTGACCACCTTACAGACCTTTGTAAAGAAGTTTTTCATGATTCAAAGTGTGCCAAAGATATAAAAATGCATAGAACTAAATGTACGCAAGTTATAAATCAAGTGCTGGCGCCGCATTTTAAGGATACTCTTCTAAAAGATATTGGCACGCAGAAATATAGTATTATTTTAGATGAATCTACGGATGTTAGCGTCTCAAAATACATGGGAATAATAATACGATATTTTAGCCTGAATACGAATAATATTGTGTCGTCATTTCTGTCTCTGGAGCCTATTGAAAGAGCTGATGCGAGAGGTATTGTCACATCTTTAGTAAAATGTTTGGAGTCACAAAGTCTTCCAACACAAAATTTGATTGGGATCGGCACCGACAATGCCTCGGTCATGACGGGCCGAAATAACAGCGTAATTGAAATTTTGAAGAGAGAATATAATTTACCAAATTTGATCCTCATTAGATGCATCTGCCACTCTTTGCAATTGGCGGTCAGCCATGCCTCTGAAAGCAATCTGCCACGTAACATAGAATTTCTGATAAGAGAGACGTACAACTGGTTCTCCATTTCTCCAAAACGCCGAGACGAATATAAAGCACTGTTTCAAACAATTAACTGCGGGGATGAACCATTAAAAATATTAAAGGTTTGTGACACCCGTTGGTTATCAATAGAGCCTGCTGTGTTGAGAATATTGGCACAATAGAACGAGTTAAAACTACATTTTTCTTTGGCGAGAGAGAAGTGCTATACAGCGGGACTTCTTTGGGAAATGTACAATGACGAGGGTAATCGTCTTTACTTATGTTTTTTGAAAAGTATTCTTAACGACGTTCAAATTGGCATTAAGGTATTTGAAGGTGAAAATATTGATCCTGTCAAACTGTTAGAAACTCTGATGACCTTGTTACGATCTGTCTGCGTTAGAATAATAATACCAGGCGCCGCGACAACAGACAAAGATTTCCTCACTATCAAAGTAGAAGATCATCTAGATCCAGTTGCACATTTGGGACATCTTTTCGAATCTCATGCCAGTAATAGCAACTTATCTCCGCAAGCAATTTCTAATATCAAAAAACGATGCATCGACTTCAGTGTCAAGTTGGTACAAGAAATTCAGAACAGAATACCTTCTAATTACGAGATCCTAGCAAAAGTAACACTCTTAAGTCCAGAGAACACATTAAAACAGATCAAGGATCCTCATACACTAGTTGGATTAGCAAGAGAATTGAGATTCGATGACCAAAAAACAGATAAAATTGTTCAACAATGGAAAACTATACAATTCATAGAATGGGAAACTGCAGGAGACAGTGTTAAATTCTGGGCGCAAGTCTTAAAATACAAGAATGCAGCAGGAGTTAATACATTTCGAGAACTAGCTGACTTGGCTATTGCTGCAATGTCCCTTCCTCACTCTAATGCGGAAGTAGAAAGGCTGTTCAGCGTGATGAACACTGTAAAAAATAAATTGAGAAATAGAATCTGTTCATTGACACTCAATTCTATAATAATTATTAGAAATCAATTTAAAATAAAGAAGAAAAATTGTCACAACTATGTTTTGCCGCCTGAGGTTTTAAAAAAAAATTAAAAAAACTGTCAAACCTTTAAAACAAATCGTAACACCATCTACATCATAATCACCCATTGACGAAGAGGTTATAGAATTACCAGATGACATTGCAGACCTACAAATTGATTATAAATTTTTTTTTCAAATAATTCAATTAGTTACTAAATTTTAATTGTAGATACGTACAAACATTATTGTTAGTTTTAATAAATACTTAATTAGATCCGGTTTTAATTAAACCCACTTATCCCTAACCCTGTATATTATTTAATTATCAATATAGAATATTAAAGTAGGCAAAGGATATTGTGATATTAGCCACTTCTAGCTACTTTTCGATTACGATTTTTTTTAAAGCTGGCCACTTTTTTATTCTATTTAGCCACAAACTAGATTGTCCAAACGGCAACACTATACGTGTGCTGTGCTGGCAGGTGGTGTACTTAATAATTTAAAATTTTGTACGTCCGTCTTCAATATAAGTTATTTAAGAATAACTCAAAAACGATTGGTCTGACCTTGATCAAATTCATATGGGACCACACGAGAACTATCAGCTTTCATATAAAAAAAGAATCATCGAAATCGGTTCACCCAGTACAAAGTTATGAGGTAACACACATAAAAAAAACATACAGTCGAATTGAGTACCGTCTCCTTTTTGGAAGTCGGCAGATAAGAATCACTTCACATATACACTGTTGAATTTACGTAAGCACTGTATATTTATGGACTCAAGCACTCAAAAATTATATAATTTACAGTAAATTATTGTTTTATTTAATTTAAAATGAGATCACAAAGCGTAAATATGTGTTAACTTTTTATTCAGCTACCGCAAAAAAAACCTTTTTAAAACGCCGGCAACGCATCTGCAATTCCCCTGGTGTTTTAGTTGTTAGGCGGTAGTCACTTCAGGTGAGCTGCATCATGCTCGTTTGCCCCCTCTCCTATATAAAAAAAACGGTAAAGATAAACGTCGATGCGAAAAAAGACAAAAGATAAAGCTGTCATTTAAATTAAAAAAAAAACATCAAGGTCCCGTATGTTTCACTAACCTCCATTCACACATTCGGTATTTATTTTAAGGTTCCAATATTTTTTGCTTTCTACCGACTTCAAAAAGGGGGAGGTAATCAACTCGACTGTATGTTCTTTTATATGTTTATTACCTCTTAACTTTTTCTGTATGATAAGATTTCGATAATTCTTTTTTTATTTGAAAGCTGGTGCTTCACATGTGGTCTCATATAAATTTAATCAAGGTCTGACCAATAGTTTTTGAATTATTATTAATAATTTATATTGAATTCGGTTGTACAAAATTTTAAATTACTACGCGTTCATTTCGAGTTTGCCGTCGTCGACCGTTACGACGTCACAGCTGACGGTACCGTAGACGAAAAAAGTCATCACGTTTATGTTTTTTAGTATTCATATTTTCAATAAAGTTAAATAATAACGTGTTCGATAAAATAAAATATTTTTTGTATGATGATGATGATGATGATGATAAAATAATAACGTGTTCGATAAAATTAAATATTTTTTTTATAGTTTTATTTTACATTTTAAATATTTCAAATTAAAGATTTTCGAAAACGCTCGTTTCTGTGTCACTGTCATCAGTCTCTCCGCCCACCGAAATAATCAATTCTCTTTCGTTGAGTTCTTGCCACCTATCGCTTTCCCAATATTGTTGCCGTAAACGGTCAACGTGTTTTACTCTTTTTTCCATTCCTCTACAGAGATACTATTAATAGCTTCCAGAGTGAGTTTCTGTATTTCTTTTTCAGACTGGCTTACATTTTTATCGGCTACTTTTTGCTTCACTAGATTCCACACGTACTAGATGGGATTCAAATCACATTGGTACGGTGGTAGGCGTAAGACTTCGTGTTCATGACTTTGGACAATTTCGTCAATTTCATATTTTTTGGTAGGCTTCGAACGACATACTACATAGTATAATTCTCGCTTCGTCATCTTTGGGTCAAAGGATATACCATTTTCCTGCAACCAATTTTGCATAGCTTCTATGCGTGCCACTGAAGTCGGTGGTTTATCAATCTGGCGGCTGTGATTGCATTGTCAAGTACAAGAATGCTATTGGGAGGTAAGTTAGGTAGGAGTTTTTCCTGTATATACTTTTTGAAATTATTTGCGTCCACTTCATTATGGTACTCCCCTGCAGTGCTTTTGCATTTATAAAAGAGTTCGGCACCTTTGACAAAACCATTCTCGCTGCCAGCATGGACCACAATCCAACGTTGTCCGGGATTGAAATTTTTTTTTACGCTTGCATCAGTTGCATTTTGAAACGGTATAGTGGCTGTTTATCCATGTTTCATCCAAATATATGACTGGTTTTTTATAGACTCCCTGTTCATCATTTTAACGTAAGTAACATGCTCTCCATGCTGCTATCTCCGGTTTCTGAATAAGATATTGTCTTATATTTTTACATTTTGTAAACTTATATCCAAGCTTCGTTTTTATAATTTTCCAGAGAGTGACTTTTTGAACAGGAAAATTTAAATCTTTCTTTGCTTCTGCTAATATCTTGCGCAGCGTAGGAACTTCCTTTTTAACTGTGTAGAAACGGTCAATTATGTTTCGAATCGAACACACCATGAAATCATCTATTTCCAACCTCTTTGTGGCTATTTTCCTTTTTCTCGGTGTTGTCAATTTTATTTCTTGTGTACTTGAAGTACTGGGCTCAGGTGAGCTCGTTTTAATTTTTTTTTGCTTCAGTCTTTATATTTCTTAAATTATGTTCAGATATATCAGTGGCGGCCGCAGTTCTCTTGATAACGTTATCAAATGATTTTTATAGCGCCTGGTACTTCTTTTCATTTTCCAACAACTTAATTTCTGGCAATACTTTTCATAGCTACGACATCTTGAACATCATAAGGCGTTATCAACTGCTTTTCAACCTTTTCTTGTTCAAAGAATCTCATTATCTTATATAATAAATTGTGTTCGCCACTGTCCAAGACCTTTCCTCTTTTACTCATTATAACAAAACAAATTAACGAATATCAACAGAAACAAAAACAAAAAATCAACAGTAACAAAAACAACAGCAAAAACAGTAACAAACTAGAGAACGTACGGGAGCATAAAAAACGGACGTAAGTACACTTCGACGTTGCTATCGGTACTAAAAGGGCGCCGCTTGAGGCGCGGCATGAGGGGGCGCGGCGGGAGGTAACGGCATTCTTGAAGTGAACGACGAGTAGGTATTGAATTAACTTCTTCAGAATAGATGCAGTTTCAATTGGCACATAAGGCACGGAAAGGTTTTTCTACTCGTTATATAATTACATCACAAATTCACAAAAATGGATTTTTGTCTGGTACACACATATTTATATAAAACAAGTTTACACAATATTGTACATATTTCACCAGATAGCTCACGAAAAAGGTTTTGCGCCAGTGTGTGTTTTTAAATGTCTTTGCAAATCAGTTTTTCTAATACATCTATATTCACAAATATTACACGAAAAAGGTTTCTCACCGGTGTGTATTTTCATATGTTCTTGCAAACGACTTTTTTTAATACATCTATATTCACAAATATTACACGAAAAAGGTTTTTCACCGGTGTGTATTTTCATATGTTTTTGCAAATCCCTTTTTCCAATACATCTATATTCACAGATATTACACGAAAAAGGTTTTTCACCGGTGTGTATTTTCATATGTGTTTGCAAAGTACTTTTTGTAATACATCTATATTCACATACATTACACGAAAAAGGTTTTTCACCGGTGTGTATTTTCATATGGGTTTGCAAATCACTTTTTCCAATACATCTATATTCACAAATATTACACGAAAAAGGTTTTTCACCGGTGTGTATTTTCATATGTTTTTGCAAATCACTTTTTCCAATACATCTATATTCACAGATATTACACGAAAAAGGTTTTTCACTGGTGTGTATTTTCATATGTGTTTGCAAATGACTGTATCTAATACATCTATATTCACATATATTACACGAAAAAAGTTTTTCTCCAGTGTGTATTTTCATATGTGTTTCCAAATGACTGTATCTAATACATCTATATTCACATATATTACACGAAAAAGGTTTTTCTCCGGTGTGTATTTTCATATGACTTTGGAAATTACTTTTTGTGGTACATCTATATTCACAGATATTACACGAAAAAGGTTTTTCTCCGGTGTGTATTTTCATATGTATTTGCAAACAACTTTTTGTAATACATCTATATTCACATACATTACACGAAAAAGGTTTTTCTCCAGTGTGTATTTTCATATGTGTTTCCAAATGACTATATCTAATACATCTATATTTACATATATTACACGAAAAAGGTTTTTCTCCGGTGTGTATTTTCATATGACTTTGGAAATTACTTTTTGTGGTACATCTATATTCACAGATATTACACGAAAAAGGTTTTTCTCCGGTGTGTATTTTCATATGTATTTGCAAACAACTTTTTGTAATACATCTATATTCACATACATTACACGAAAAAGGTTTTTCTCCAGTGTGTATTTTCATATGTGTTTTCAAATAACTGTATCTAATACATCTATATTCACATACATTACACGAAAAAGGTTTTTCACCGGTGTGTATTTTCAAATGGGTTTGCAAATTACTTTTTGTAATACATCTATATTCACAGATATTACACGAAAAAGGTTTTTCACCGGTGTGTATTTTCATATGTCTTTGCAACTTACTTTGTCTAATACATTTATATTCACAATTATTACAACAGTACATTTGTTTAGAGACGTGTGCTTTAAGATGTGCCAAAATGTAACGTTTGTGAGATGTTTTAAATTCGCAAATATCACAATTAAATATTTCTGTTTGTTGTGGTACTGGAGCTTGTTCTACTTGTGTCCGAACTGCAGTGGTGTCTGAGTTCTTTTGCGTCTTATGACTGTATGAAATGTGTTTGGCGAGAATGTCTTTTGTTGAAAATTTTTTACTACAACCATCACATTCAAAAATGTATTCAGTTGATGTCCCAGATGTTTTTTTCTTAAGCATATTTACACTCTTTTGTTTCAAAATTTTCGTTTTCATAATCTTTGCAGGATGCTTTCCTTTTTTATTAATTGGTTGATTATCTTTTTTCACTTTAGGGTTTGATTTAATAGTAGGGCCTTCAAAATCGAGCTCTTCTTCACGAACATCGTTTATCTTACAATCAGTAGAATTTGATTTAATCTTCTTCTCAGAAGTTTCTGAAAAATGATTTGTCGAAGTTAAACTTTTTATTTTTTGTAAGTTATTGCATCTTTATTGCAAGACACCTTAAACGGTTTACAATGGGCGAAGTTTATGCCTTATGGCATTTTCTATCAGTTAACCCCAGGGAGAAATAAAGAAATTATAGTATTTTACACGATAATACTAAATATTGTTGCCAGATATAAAGTATTTTAGCCAATTACTCCGAATAATCTTTCTTTCTTTCTATTTAAAAACGTTACCCCCACACTAGGATTTTCTCCTGTATCGTGGAGGCAGTTTACAAACACAAATTGCACAAGGACAAACATCCAGACCCGGAACAATTATTTGTAGGCCATACAAAGACTTGTTCCGTGCGGGATTCGAACCCGCGGCCCCCAGCGCAGCAAATCATTGCTAAGACACTACGCCACGGAGTCGTCAATGTCTCTCATATTCATTTTTGGAGAGAAAGAATGATTTTTCTGACCATGTTACATTTACATTAATCTAATAATCGCTGTTTCGAATTCCACACAGAACTAGTGTTATACACACACGGTCGAAGATGGCGTGTAAGTGCGGTGTAAGAGAATTCATCATCACATTTTGTCCCGTGGGTTTTGTAAAAGGCGACTATGGGTTTGCTAGAAAAATCTGATGGCTTCCGACAGATGGCGGTATAACCACCTCGTTTACTTCAGATGTAAAATATCCAGACCGGCGCCAGGCGACATTGCCAGAGGTGCTCACGTCTGGTTCTGCGATCGTCAGTCCTATGCCAAGCGTGACTCTCAAGGCAAATCCTTCCTACGTAGGGAGAGATCCTTCCATGTTCAGCAGTGGAAGTTTACGGGAATATTAAGAGGTCCTTTCTCCACTGGCACCCATAAAATAGTTAATTTTGTAAGTAGGTGTGTATGTATGTATACATACATCCATACACGCCATTTCCGTCCTATCGATCCTAACAGCTTCGACGGAAACCGTATTGAAGGTCACTAATCAGCTTATGCTCTTCAAGGTATTTTTGTGACGCGTGAGCTGGCAGTTAATAATGGATTCCATCATTTTGGAGAACTAGAAGGTGATGGTGATAGGCCTGTATTTGGATAGGTCCCAGCCTTTTTTAGGAATCGCATGCACTAAGGCTGACTTTCATAAGGTTGGAACGACAACTTACACCAACGACATCCTTAGTAAAAGAATATGACATAAACATAAAAATAACATGAACATAACACAACAACTGCATTATAACTTTGTAATCTATACTAATATAATAAAGTGGAAGGGTTTTTTGTTTTTTGTTTGTTTAAACACGCCAATCTCTGGAACTATCAGTCCGATTTGAAAAAATGATTTTCTATATTATAGCCAGATTCATGAGGAGGAGGAATAGTATAGCATTAGGCTACTTCTCTCAGTTAGATATTGATTTTTGCTAACCCGTCAAGCGCTAGGAGATTTTGTTTTTTACGCGCCAAACGTCAGGGCCTGTACGGAAGGTCTCCGGATACTGGCAGGCACTAATGTAAAAAACTTAACAATCGAAGCTAGACGCAGAGCGACAATGAAAAGACTTGCATGAAAGTTAAAAAAACCGCTATTCTACATTTATTCCTCTACTACCTGTTCCCTGCGACTTCGCTCACGTGTTAGGGTTTTTATGTTTTTGCGCGGAACCTTAATTCTTTTTCTAAAATAAAAGTAAATCCTTAAGAAATCAGCTATCTGTCAGTGAAAGTCCCGTCAAAATCGGTCCAGCCGTTTCGGAAATTAGCCGGAACAAACAGACAGACAGACAAAAATTGTTAAAATTTATTTTAGTTATAATAATATATTTTTAACAGTCGTAGAGCCACGCGGCAGCTTTTGCTGTCGCACGGATGGGCCGGCTCAAACCGGGGTAGTACCACGACCTCACAGAAAACCAGCGTGAACTAGAGATTTACCTCTGCGTTTCGTTTGGTGAGTGCAGGTGGCCGGAGGCCCTTTTTACTGGAAATGAGGCATTCCATCTTAGTCCTCACGGGTGACAACGCATCTACATTTTGATTTGTAATAGAGGATAGATGTAGATGTTTATGGGCCGCAGCAACCACTTACCATCAGGTGGACTGTGTGCTCGTTTGTCACCCTTATTCTATAAAAAAAAAGTACCGTATTTACTTTCATATGCATTTAGTAAAAAAACTGTAATTTTGAGAATACAAACAGACACTTAAATTTTATTTATTTGTATAGATTGGACAACACATCCAAAAGTAATGATAATAGGTTATTTCCAGTGCACATAAAAATCCGAAAAGTTTTTCCTTGTTTATGTACCCACTAGATCAGAATTAGAAAAAATCATATAAACAGGCTACGATTCCCGAGAGGTACATTCATTTGAATACGAATCATCAAAGAGATAACATCAAAATGGAGAAAAATTAAATGAGAGTTCCCTCTGTTTAAAAAATGTCTACCAAAGACATACACAGCGACTTGGTAAAATATTGAGGGACTCTGCGCCTTTCACAATTGCGCGCTGGGCCAAGGAGGTTAAGCTGGGCTGAACATCCACGGAAGATGAATGCACATCCACATCCCTCACTGAAGATAAAGTAAAAGGAGTCGAAGTATCGTATTGGCAGATCGAAGTGTGACCATCAGGCATATAGCTGAGATCACAGGTATATCTCATATGGCAGTGTTCAAAGAACCCTTGCGAACGAATTGCATATGAAAAGGATCTCTGCGCGTTGGGTACCGAGAATATTAACCGACGAGTAAAAGAAAAAAATTGTCGACATTTCGAGGGTGAATCTCGAAAGGTTCCAAGCAGATCAGATTTTTTATAAGGTTTCGTGACCGTGGGCGAGACCTGGATCTACCATTTCGATCCTGAAACCAAACAACAACCAACGGTATGAAACCGAGTCTCCTTCCGACGCCAAAGAAATTCAAAGTGTCAAGTTCGCCGGGAAAGGTTATGGCGTCCGTTTTTGGGGACGCTGAAGGAATAATTATGGTGGAATAATCGGAAAAGAGAGCCATTATTTCGGGCTTATACTCTCGACTACGCAGGCCAGATAAGAAGATTGCAGGGGGCTATTAAAGAAAAAGACGCGGCAAATTGCGAGCTGGAGTGCTGTTTCAACAAGACAACGCTCCGCCTCACAAAGCCGCAGTTGCGATGGCTGCCATTCAAGAAACGGGATCTGAACTGTTCGAACACCCGCCCTATTCGCCAGATCTAGCTCCCAGTGACTTCTATTTCCTCGGCTCAAGGAACACCTTTGAGGCAAGGAATTTGGAGACGATAGCGAAGTCATGGACGCTGTTGAGGCTTTTTTGAGGGTCAAAATAAAGATTATTTTTCTAAGGGAATTCTGGGTTTTGAACAAAAATAGACTAAATGCATTGACTTGTTAGGAGATTATGTGGAAAAATAAATTATTTTTTTAACAATAATCACCGTGTTTAATATTCATCATCATCATTACAGACCTTCACAAGTCCACTGCTGAACATAGGCCTCCCCCAAGGAATGCCACAAAGCACGGTCCTGAGCCACCTGTATCCATCGACTTCCTGCATATCTTACCAGGTCATCACTCCATCTAGTGGGGGGACGCCCTACACTTCATCCGCCGGTACGAGGCTGCCACTCGAGAACCTTTTTTCCCCCATCGGTTGTCGGTTCTTCGAGCTATATGGCCGGCCCATTGCCACTTCAGCTTACTAATCCGTTGGGCTTTGTCAGTCACTCTGGTTCTACTGCGGATATCCTCATTTCTAACTTTATCACGCAGAGAAACTCCGAGCATAGCCCTCTCCATAGCTCGCTGAGCGACCTTGAGCTTCCTCATCCGGCCAGCAGTGAAGGACCACGTCTCAGTTCCGTATGTCATCACTGGCAACACGCACTGGTTGTACAGTCTCGTTTTCAAGTTTTGAGGTATACCTGACGAGAAGATGTGTCGTAATTTCCCGAACGCTGCCCAACCGAGTTGAATCCGTCGATTGACCTCTCGGTCGAAGTTGGACTTACCTAGTCGGACTATTTGTCCCAGGTAAACATACTCGTCAACAACTTCGAGCTTAGTGTTCCCAACAACTACCGGCATAGGTGTGACATGGACATTAAACATGATCTTTGTTTTGTCCATGTTCATCTTAAGACCTATCCGTTGGGAAACACTATTGAGGTAATTGAGCATAGTGCTTAGGTCCTCCAGCGATTCTGCAATAAGGACAATGTCGTCGGCAAATCGAAGGTGAGTGATGTACTCGCCATTGATGTTGATACCGTATCCTTTCCAGTTCAGAAGCTTGAAAACATCTTCCAATGCAGAGGTAAAGAGTTTCGGGGATATGACGTCACCCTGTCTTACACCTCTCTGCAATTGGATAGGTTTCGTACTCTGGTTCTGTACTCGGATAGCCATCGTAGCCCTACTGTACAAACACTTCAACACTTCCATATACCGACAGTCAACTTGGCATCGCTGAAGGGACTGCAGCACCGCCCAAATTTCGACGGAATCAAAGGCTTTCTCATAGTCCACATACGCCAGACATAGTGGCAAATTGTACTCCTCGGACTTCTGTACAATTTGCCGAAGGGTATGTATGTGGTCTATGGTGCTAAAGCCTTTTCGGAAACCGGCTTGTCCGGGAGGCTGGAAGTCGTCAATGCTGTGTGCGAGACGATTCGTAATGACTCTCGAAAACAGCACGTAGACGCGGCTCAGAAGAGAAATCGGTCTGTAGTTCTTCAAGAGAGCGTTGTCGCCTTTCTTGAAGAACAAGACCACCGCACTTCTGCTCCACGCCTCCGGTGTAATGCCACCATGGAGGACGGAATTAAAGAGCTTCTGAAGGACTTCAAGTACCGGTTTAACCCCCGCTTTCAGAAGCTCCGCTGTAATTCCATCCTCGCCTGGGGCCTTGCCGTTTTTAAGGTGCTGGAGAGCCATTCTAATCTCGCTCAGACTGACGTCCGGGATATCTTCGGAATAGTGTCGGATAAGACTCGCTCTTGGATCGTTACTCACACTTGCGTGTGGCTCCAACGATGACGTGTACAGCTGCCCATAGAACCTCTCAATCTCACTCAAAATCTCAGGTGCCCCGGAAACGATGCTGCCACATTCGGTCTTCAGCTTCGACAGTTGGTTCTTTCTGGCAGACAGATCTCTAACAAAGACTTTGGAACCCTGGTTCCACTCGATCGCTTCTTCAATACGAGCAGTATTAAAGTTGCGTAAGTCCCGCTGCATGCATATGGAGATCTGTCTGTTCAGTTGCCTGTATGCTGTCAAATCTACTGAAGACTGCAGCTGTGTTTAATATTGACTATCAATAATTACTTTTGGATCACCCCTCGTACTCACATCCTAAAAATAAAACCAAAGCGAAAAGTTGACTGAAATCGGAAAGGATGATAAAAAACGGCAGAGGTGGCTTCGCCCGCGTAGTAAGACAAGACAAAAAGATTATTAATAGAATCAGGCGTTACATTGCGAAAATCCATTATATTAAACACTATAGTAAAATTATTTTGTGCGTGCAGTTGGGGTCATAAATCATAGCTCGACCTCAGTCCGGCTAGGGCGGTGAGCATGTTGCGAGGGCGCAACGCCATTATCGATAACAACAAATTTAATTTTTGATATAAGTTATTATCTTTATATTTATTTTTAATAAAGTTGTTAGATGCGAAACATTTCTACTTATAGTTTTTTAATAGATAGATAACTAATTAATCATTTATTTAGAATTATTATTATTATTATTTTAATAGATACGTTGTTTTATCTATTTTTTTTTTCATTTTTATCACGCCCACATAATGACAAAACTAAATACATTATCGATAACGCTTATCGACAACAATATTGCGCATCACTATGCTCGCCCATAAAGCCCGTGAGTGGGAGAGAGAGCGAAATACTCCGATAATTTATGACCCAAATTGCACGCACAAAATAATTCTAGTATAGCTGATAACCGCTCGCTTCGCTATGCGCAAGATTTTATTGCAGAACCTAGATGTGACTAAAGTAATTAAGAGCAAAATTTGTATGTAATTAGTACATATCCAACTACATGATGCAAGAGGAATTTGTGGTGATTTTTTTATTTTTTGATGCAGGTTTATAAACATAAATTCATTTACCTATGTCATCGTCATCTTTTTTACTCTTTGAACCAAATGCAATTAGCGGCAAGTCGTCATCCAAATCCGTATGTCTATCTTCAAAAGCGTCAATCTCCAAATCTTCTTGTTTTTCAGCACTCTCTAGAATGAAACAGATTCTGACTCAATATATAAAATAATAACTGATATTTTTTTCAAGCGACTAGATCATTACAGTCCATCACAAAGCTTATGGGCCTGAGCCATCCACTTTCATTACCATACTGCATGTTCCATAAGCTAAGTGTAAAAAGCTGAAGTGGCAATGGGCCGCAGAACTGACAACTGATGGGGAAGAGAGGTTCTCGAGTGGCAACCTCGTACTGGTAGACGTAGTGTAGGGCGGCCCCCACTAGATGGAGTGACGACCTGGTAAGACATGCAGGAAGTTGATGGATGCAGGTGGCTAAGGCCCGTGCTTTGTGGCATTCCAAAAGAAATTGGCAAAGACAGGTTGCTTACCAGTTGTAAGTATATCATTAATTCCTATGAAATTAATCCATCTTAGTGACATACATACCGGCTGCATTTATACAGGATCAAAATATTTTTTAAATATATTAATGCATAATTAAAAAAAAATTATAAAGAAGCTCATTATTTTACATTGACAATCATGCCTAGCGCAAAACGCGTAGGTATGTATGTTCTACTAGCGCCTAAAAATCAAGATTCCAATGTTTTGACGCATAAAATCGCATCTAACAATTATATTGAACATATAAATGATATAAAAACCACATTGTCAGAAAGATAAATGATTGTTGAACTTATTTTTTTTTAATCGATAAATTGCTATTTTTACATAAAAAGAAGGTTTCAGTGGCTTATGGTGTAGATTTATCAAGTCCGCATTTTTTATAGGATAGGGTAATAAACGAGCACACAGTCAGCCTGATGGTAAGTGGTTGCTGTGACCCATAGACATCTACATTTATCCTCAATGAAGAATCAAAATGCAGATGCGTCGTCACCCGTGAGGACTAATATGGAATGCCTTTTTTCCAGTAAAATGGGTCTCCGGTTCTCTACACTCACCATCCGAAACACAGCAGCGTCAAACTGCCATTTTACGCTGGTATTCTGTGAGAGCGTGGTCCTTCCCCTGTCAAGCCGACCCATGCGTGCTACAATTATACTACTAAATACTAATATAGCTGCAGCATGGCTCTACGGTTTTGAAAATATTAATTGTTTAACTCAATCTATTTTTTAATCTGTTAGCAGTATAATTTTATTTTGTTTAGTTATAATTTTTTTTATTGAGTCATTTTTAATAATACCTGCAAAATGTCAGACGAATTGAGCGATTTTAAACAATTCCCAGACGTGAATAAAGTTTACAAATGAATACGACAAAAAAGTCTTCTTATGCGTAGCCATAAGCGCGAGAAAGATAGCTTATCGAAGCATGCCGACAGCGGAGGGGGGGGCTAAGTTCCTCGCGCTGTGATTGGTTATTAAGAAATATCTTTTTCAAAGATTTTAAGATGAAATTCTTGTTTTGGGATTTAGCATGTCGCTCATTTGGAGCGACAGTGACATAACTGCAAAAAAGGCGAATTTGACCTAATTACACCAAAACTATCTCCATACCTATCTACGTTATGGAGTTAAAACACCACATTTGTTATTTAAATAATTTAAAATTAAAAATTTTGTACAGCCGACTTCAATATAAGTTATTTAAGAATAACTTAAAAACTATTGGTCTGACCTTGATCAAATTCATATGGGACCACGCGAGAAGTACCAGCTTTCAAATAAAAAAAGAATCATCGAAATCGGTTCACCCAGAAAAAAGTTCTGAGGTAACACACATAAAAAAAAAAAACGAAAAAAAAAAAAAACATACAGTCGAATTGAGTACCGGCTCCTTTTTGGAAGTCGGCAGAAAAAACGCTCGCTAGAAGGCAAAAGACGTTGTCGAAATATTACATTTTGGCGCGCGAATACCGGGCGATAACGACCGAACAGTCAGTTGTGCGGGGCGCTCCGCTAAGTGTGCATGTGTCAGGGAGCTACATCGGCGCGAAGGTAAATATGACAAATTTTGCTATTAAACATCGGTGCTACAACGACGCAATTGTATTTTCTGACAATATCAACTAGAAATGAAAACAGTTTTGTGGACACAATGTCGTATTATACAATTGCGCCGTTGTATCACCAAACATTCGGTATTTTTTTAGACGTAAATATAAATACGCCATTATTGTACTGTAATGCCTTTTTACCAATAACAATTATGACTAATTGTAATAATTTTAGACCAAATTTAATTATGTTAATTTGTTATATATTTTAAGCTATCAAAATGGGAAGTCGAGCACGAATGTTAGTCAAACTTTGTGAGCAAGAATGTTCAAAATTTGATAGTATTGGGGACCAGTCTCTTCCTTCAAAAACTGTTATTTCTACTAGTGCAAATGGTAAATAAATACTCAGTACGTTAATATTTTTGTTGGTTTTAATAATAATGTTTGTCAAGTTTTAACATTTCTTTGCTAAATTACAGAGATATTTTCTGCAGAACAAAACCAAGACGTCAGCAACATTATTTCAAACATTGATACTGCTTGCTCTAGTCAACGTAAGTCGGTTTTTCTACATTACTTACGTTTATTTGCAAAGTTATATTCTTGTGATTGTACATTGTTGTAGTTGTATTCGGATTAACTATTTTATTTAAATTATTGTTTGTTTATTTTAGCATCGATTGTGACAGAAAATGTTATTTCTTCTCTAAATAAGGCGAATCCGTCACCGATCCTCCTAGAAAACAACGAAAACGATAGTGAAGACGAAACTAAAGACTTTTCTCCAGACGATAGTGGTGATGAATATAAGCCAGAGAAATCTGTACAACGCAACCGTATTAATTCAACGTCATCTAGCTCATCTTCGGGCTCTTCATGCTCAACTTCATCGTCTAGTTCATCTGGTACTACTTCTAGCTCACCATCAACATCGATTACTCATGATTCCGTCAGAAATTCCAATTTTATAGATACCAGCCAAGATTTAGCGCTACCTTCCGAGACTGCAGTTACCAAGAGAGGCAAGAAGAGAGTTCGTAATGAATCTGCATGGATAAAAAATGTACGAAAACGTCAGCGAAATTCTGGAAAACAATACGTATCTAAAACTGGCAAAACTGTTGCAGCTAAATCTATTAAACCACCTTGCACAGAAAAATGTAGGCTCAAATGCCGTAATAAAATAACGGAGGAACAAAGACAGGAGATATTTGAATGTTATTGGGGCTTGGGATCACTACAAAGACAGCGTGATTTTTTGAACTCCTGTTTAATAACTTTGAAAGTTCCCTACCGTCGAGTAAAAGAAGGAGCTGCCAAAGCTAGGAACCAAAATTGTGTTTTTAATTTCACGGTGAATGGTGAAACTAAGCGGACGTGCAAAACTTTTTTTTTAAATAGTTTGGGTATATCAGAGCGAACACTGCGAACGGTTATTGAAGGTAAAAACAGTTCTGGTACAGGTGTGATCCCTCAGGACAAGCGTGGCAAGCATGCTCATTATAATCAAGTAAACCCAGAAATCATGCAATCCGTTCGCGATCACATTAATTCCGTGCCTAGAATTGAGAGCCACTATACTCGGGCTAACACAACTCGTGAATTTATTGATGGCGGTCTTACCGTTAAAGAGCTGCATCGAAATTACGTATCTAGTAGAGGAACGATGCCATCGGCAACTTTTGACACGTATTACCGAATTTTCAACACTGAATTTAACCTATCATTTTTTGTACCCAAAAAAGATCAGTGTGATCTATGCGAGTCTTATAAAAATGCTGTCGGGAAAGACCAACTCAAATTAAAAGAAGCTTATGAAGAGCATTTAAAACAAAAAGATTTAAGTAGGAAAGAGAAAACTAAGGATATTGAGTTACTAAAAGAAGATGGTAACAATATCGTTGCAATATACGATTTACAGGCAGTTATGCCTGTACCTATCGGTAATAGTTCAGCGTTTTTTTACAAATCAAAGTTGAACTGCCTAAACTTTACGGTAAGTATTTTATTTTCTTTGGATTCACGAGTGAGTATGAGCTTAAAAAAAAACTAATATTAAATTTCTTTAACAGGTTACAAACTTAAAAGATAGCGTAACAAATTGCTATTTCTGGCACGATGGTCTTGGCAATAGAGGAGCTATAGAAATTGGTTCTTGTGTGTTCAAATTTCTGAAAGAGACTGCAGAGCGTCATGCCAATAGCAATATAATATTTTATTCTGACAACTGCTGTGGTCAGCAAAAAAATAGGTATATTTATAGTCATTATTTTCGCACAAAAACAGAATTAAAATTAACCATTTTTTCTGTATTTAAGTTATATTTTACTTTTTCAGATCCCTGCTTGGCATGTATTACTATGCGGTTGAAACTCTTCCAATAAATTCAATCACACATAAATTTTTGATACGTGGGCACACTCAAAATGAGGGCGACAATGCTCATTCGCTCATCGAAAAGTCAATTAAAAGAGCAAAAAAGTCAGGTCCTATCTATATTCCATACCAGTACAACTTATACGCAACACCAAGAAAACTGGGAATGCTTTTGTAATAAACGAGCTTAACTATGACGATTTTTATGATTTAAAAAAGCTATTTGAAGATATTACACTAAATGTTAACAAAGATCTGCAAGGTAACCAGATAAAACTATCTGAAATAAAATCTATACGATTTGTTAAAAATAGTGAGACTTACGATTTAAAATATTCTTACGAGGGTGAATGGATAACTGTCAAATCAAAAACATCTACTAATACTCGAAAAAATCGGTCCGATAATAATTTAAATATTACTGAAATACGTTTGAGAGCAGCTTACAATTCAAAACTTACGATTTCTGATCAAAAAAAGCAGGATTTGCGTACTTTGTTAGAAAAAAACATTGTTCCCAGGTGCTATTCCGGATTTTACGAGAGTTTGTTTTAAGTTACCTGAGTAGGTACAATTTTTTTATTGTTTTTATTAAGTTTTAATTTTTTATGTAAGTAGTATGTCTAATGAAACGAACGTAAGACTGAAATGTTTAAAAATAGTTCTAACATTCTACTGATCTTTTAAGACTGACTTTTAAGAATAACTTTTTAAATGTGCCCTGCACATTTTTTAGATTTTAAGAATATTGTTATAAACAGCTGATTTTTCTGTGCCATATTAGATAGTAGTTATTAAGAGGGTTAAAAAACTAATTTTATATACCTACTATATTGTTTAATTTCGTATTGAATAGTTCCTATTAAAGTGTAATTAAGATGAAGGACATCTACAAATGATTCATACTATGTCACCACTGACTGCCGTTGTTAATTTTTATTGAAATAATACAAAATGTGTTGATTGGAACGATATTGGTTTTATTTTATAAGAGACAACGAAGGTCATAACTACCCGAGCTTTCTTTGCCTAGGGCAACAGCGACGCAACTGTAAGTGTTAAAATGTTTTTTATTTATTTCTCATTATTTTGGATAAGAATATAGAAAATAAATGTGTCTGTTTTCAAGCCCAGAGTTCAAACTACAATAATAAAATAGATAAAGAGTCAGTAACTGTAAGAAAAGTAAGGAATCTTCAATGGTGTTACGAAAATATCTTAAAACTGGCGTAGTGTAAATTTTACAAATTTGCAGTTATGTCACTGTCGCTCCAAATGAGCGATGTATGTATGCGCATATATGACCATGTAAATATCTGTATATACAGTTTGAATTATTTAAGATCAGTGCTGTAATAATTTGTAAGATAGCTATTAATTTTAACCTCGTATTAATAGTAAGCTTGGGAAAAATATGTCTTGATAATTACGTTAAGCATACTTGTGTGTATTTAAGCTACTTTAAAAAAAATCCGTATAATCATGTTATACGTAATTTTTTTAATGCGCTTAGGGCATGCATAATTGAATTTACCGATAGTTTTTATTTAAACTAACAACTATCATGACAGGAATAACCTAATGCGACAGTGTAGTTCTTTTCATGCATAACAAAAATGTGGTCATTAACTCTAAACAAATTGGAAACAATCTTACCCTAGTGAATTCACTCAAGGTGCAACAGAATAGATCACTGTCTTCAACCATTCTATTAAGAACGCGTAACATTCGCGTTAAAGGCGCCTTGTCGAGTAAATTTGTACCCGTCTGGATACGGCCCAATCCGCGCCAATATGCCACTATAATATTATTTGTGTCCATGGACTACAGTAACCACTTGCCATTAGGTAACTTATAGCTTATTTTAATAATATCACAAAATGTGTATATCTTACCTATTTCATAATTCCCATTTTCTTCATATTTGAAATTCTCATTTTCTAAATTCTCTTCTTCAACTTTAACAGATTCAAGGCTAAACATTTCGTTCTGACAACCATTATCTAGATCACACTCTACTGGCCTGATATCTATATGACTAATTGGTGTGAATTGAATCTTATCTCTAGCATCATGATGATTTGGTATAGACTGAAACCAAATTCTTTTGTTAAATAAGAGAAAAAGCCAGTGTAGTGGTGCCGTAGGAGAATCCATACTACCATACCATCCTGCAGATGTCGTAAAAAGGGACAGAGGGAAACTGAAACAGGAGTTGGCCAGCAGCATCTTCCTGACAACAACTACAAAAATCTTTTATATTTTAAATAAATAGATCGACTTGGCCATCGCATGAAAACACAATGTATCTCTCAAGTAATACATATTATATTAAATTAGGTTGTTTAGTGCGATTGCCAAGTCAATTTATTTATTTGAAACATAAAAGATTTTTAATATTGATGTGGTCACTATAAGATGTTGTTAGGTTAGCTAATTACATAATAACTTAAGACAGAAGGACCCTTAAGTAGGGACTGAATAAATTACCGACTTGGTATTGAAACACAGGATGAAATAGATACCAAGCCGCAATATAATAATCACATTGATTTTATTGAATACGACAACGAAGTTATTACTTTTCCTACACAAATCGCAAATACTTTTAATAATTTCTTCATTGAATTAACAAACAAAGATATCCAAGATAATATATCAAATAATAAATCCAATCAAATCCTAAATAATTCTATTTATCTAAGCCCTACTGACGAATATGATATAAATAAAGTAATTATGACCTTGAATAATAGTAACTCAGAAGGGTATGACGGCATTTGTACCAAAGTAATTAAGGCCTGCAATAAAGAAATAGGCAGAGTCTTGGCATTTTTAATAAACTTATCAATGGTCTCTGGTATCTTCCCTGATAAACTTAAATTCTCCTTGATTAAGCCATTGTTCAAAAAGGACAAATAATCAATTTTGGACAATTACCGTCCTATTGCGCTCGTACCGACTTTGTCAAAAGTATATGAAAAAATTATGCATATTAAACTCACATCTTTCTTTGACAAGTATCATGTCCTGAATCACAGTCAGTATGGGTTCCAGAGGGGTAAATCTACTGCACATGCTGTTTTCGATATGGTAAAGGAGATTCTAACATGTCTACATGCTAATAATTATACAACTGCTATTTTCTTTGACATGTCGAAGGCCTTCGATTTTGTATCACATAGTTTATTATTAGAAAAATTGGAAAAATGTGGCATTAGAGGCACTGCTTTAAATTGGATTAAAACCTACTTGCAAAATAGACGACAATCTGTTGAAATAAGCAGACCAGACTGCAATCATGTGGTCCTAAATTACATATCAGATTTTAAAGAAAACAAATATGGAGTTCCACAGGGCAGCGTTTTGGGACCACTGTTGTTCTTGGTCTATATATATAATCTTCCGGATGTAACTAAACACAAATGCATTTTATTCGCTGATGACATATCTGTAATAGTTAAAACAGATCGTAAACAATCTCTAAAAGACCATATTAATGACATTAATAGCACAGTAAAAACAATAATAGAATGGCTTAAAAATAATAATCTAATTATAAATCTTGACAAAACTTATTTTATAAATTTCAATGACATATTATATCAGACAATAAACATTAATTTTGAAGGACAAAACCTAAAAAGTACAAATATGACAAAATTCCTAGGTATATGGGTAGATCAAAAACTTAATTGGAAAAGTCAAGTTGAAAATGTTCGTAAAAAAATAAATAGATTTTCGTACGCACTTTACAAACTACGCAAAGTAGCCACAAAAAATACAACACTTACTGCGTACTTTGCCTATGTGGAGTCTGTTTTGCGATACGGACTCATTATATGGGGTAATAGCACAGATGTAAAAAAAAGGCATTCATTGCCCAAAAAAAATGTATTAGAGCAATATGTGGCACTGCACCCGATGAGCCTTGCAGGCCGTTATTTATATATCTGAAAATACTACCCCTCCCATGCCTGTACATTTTTGAAATGGCAAAGTTTGTAAAACAAAACATGTATTACTTCAGACAAGCGAAAGAGATTTACACACGAAATACCAGAAATGGCAATAGACTTGTAGCTGAAACTATACCCAAGAGTGCTCGATTTAAAAAAGCTGCTACTGGATGTGTATTCTCATATTTAATAAAATACCCCAAAATATAAAAGACTTACCCCTTAACAGATTTAAAGGCGCTTTTTACAGGTGGCTAAATGAACATTGTTTTTATAATGTAACTGACTACCTAGATTTGACATGATGGGACACAATAGTAGTTATATATTTTTAATTAAATTTTAATCTTAATTATATTTAAATTTTGTATGTATTGGTATTGCTATATTTTAATAATAAATATTTTAATTGAATTTTATATTGTAATATGATAAATTTAACTAAAAAAAAGGTATTTGCATGCTATTATAGATGGCTGAAAACGCTTATCTACACTATATAATAACCACCTAAATGTACCCCTTTTTCAAAGCAAATAAATCTTCATTTCATTTCATTACATGGATCTCACAACTTTTTACGGTAGCAGAACTGAGTTGCGAGACTTGGTTTTTTTTTACAAGTTATGTTTTTGATGGCATCTCATCTCTTTTTGTAGATAGTTATATCTAGGTACCTATCTACACCTATTATTCCATCATTTATTAATATTTAAATAATATATTAATTAACAACGAAACCGGTAAAGACAAACCTCGTAACTCAAACTATCAATTAAAAATTAACAATGATTTAACTAAATCAAATCAAGAAGTCGCAGCGGTGTTTGAGAAATATTTCACTGATATTCCTATCTTGACAACAGAGTCATTGAATACTTCTCCAACTATCGCCGAGTCATTACTCAAACGTAATGTTAATACCTGTTTAAAAGAATTTAGATTTGAAAAAGTATTATCGCAAGATGTTGTAAAATACTTCAAAACTATTGATGTTAAGAGTTGATGTTAAGTTGCCAGATTTGTGGGGGATTTACTTTACAGTTATTGCGTCCATAATAGATTTAATTGCACCTCATCTTGATATTATTTTAATACTTGTATCGATTCTGGTGTGTTTCCTGATTTAATGAAGTATAGTAAAGTAAACTAATACCTTTATTTAAATCTGGTAGTACATTGGACTCCGCTAATTATAGACCTATTTCTGTACTACCAACTCTCAGTAAAATTTTTGAAAAAATTATTTTGGATCAATTGTTAATTTTTTTAATACTAATAAATTACTTCATAATAACCAATTTAGTTTTACAAGGGATCGCTCGACGTCTGACGCCGTTGTTGAGCTTATGAAATATATTTTTAATGCCTGGGAGAATTCGCAAGATGCCTTAGGTATTTTCTGTAATCTTTCCAAGGCTTTCGATTGTGTTCATCATGAGACATTAATCAGGAAACTACAACATTACGGTGTAAAAAATTTAGCGTTTAGACTTATTACTTCATATTTAAGTAACAGAACTTAAAAAGTCGTGATCAATGGTAAAGGTTCCTCCGGATCAGTAGTATCAATTGGCGTTCCTCAGGGCTCGATTCTTGGCCCATTGGCTTTTAATCTATAAGTCACTTACCTTATCTTGTAGGGGACAATCACGATATAGTATTATTTGCTTACGATACCTCTTTAATTTTCAAACTTAAACTGCAGTTAATTAATTATGACGATGTAAATAATGCTCTATCGAAATTGGTACATTGGTTTAACGCCAACAATATGCTCTTAAACGGCAATAAGACAAAGTGTATTAAATTTACAATACCTACTGTAAAACATTCGAATACCAATGTGCTGTTAAATGGAGAGGAGTTTAGTCTTGTGGATACCACTGTTTTTCTTGGTATTACTATTGACGCGAAACTTCAATGGGGCCCCCATATATCTAAATTAGTAAGCAGACTTAGTTCTGCAGCATATGCTGTAAGAAAGATTAGAAGCCTCACAGATGTTGAGACAGCTAGATTAGTGTATTT